CATTAGCAAACATGGGGTACAGTGTAGTGTTTTCATATACAATTTGAAATATTTTCATCAAACTGGTTAACATAGACTTTATGTCATTTACTTAGTTATTGTGTTAAGACATTTATACTCTAGTTTTAGAAAGATTCACTTATACCCTTATAAGACAGACCATAGAGGTTATCTTTCCAATTACCCTCCCTCCACCCATCCACCCTTCTCCCATCTCCTCCCCCACCCCTTCCCATATTCTTGGGCTAGAATCAGGTTGTAGCTTTCATTTGAGAGCTATAAATTAGTTTCATAATAGGGCTGTGTACATTGGATACTTTTTCTTCCATTCTTGTGATACTTTGCTAAGAAGAATAGCCTTAAGTTTTCAAAAATGATGAAATCATTGCCTTTCTGACTCTAGCCAAAGCCTACATTTCACAAATGAAAAATCCTGCAGATATTAGAGGTCCCATATCTGCTGGCAATTAGCAGAGTTGAGACTAGAAGCTAGGTTTCCTAAGTATCATATACTCTCTCATCACCTGGTTGTCCTTCTGGTCTACATTTTAGTTAGCTATTAACTATCTCAGTTAGATAGCCTCTGTTTAACCCAAATACTACAGGCCTCAGCATACAGCCAGAGAGACAGCAATCACCTATAAAACTAAATGTCTTAATTGAAAAACTGCAGAAAACTATTTCTCATATAAGGTAGTAAAGGAGTTAATATTCTTAATCTATGAAAGAATATCTTTAGGTGGGGCGAGCAAGCGATGAAGAGAGGTAGGTTAGTGGCTATAAAAATACAGTTAGATAGAAGGAAATGAGTTCTGATGTTCAGTAGCACCATAGGGTGACTGTAGTTAACAACAATGTAGTGTATCTCAAAATAGCTAAGAGAAGGACTGAAATATTCCCAACACAAAGAAATGATAAATTCTGGAGATGAGAAATACCCTAAATATCCTGATTTGATCATTACATACTCTATGCATGTATGAAAATGTCACATGTGCCTTATAAAAATGCACAAATATATATCAGTAAAATCACTGAAAATTTAAAAATCCAATGACTAAAAAAATGAGCACAAATTTACTGAGTGCTCACTAGGTATTTGACTGTGCAAGGCATTGAGGGTGCAAAATTAACGTAAGGACAGCATGATTTCTACATGCACGTGGTTTACTGTATAGTGGGCAGAGAAAAACTCATCAGAAGCAGTTAGGCACAGCTTCTGGCCCTCTGTGTGATTTCATAAGAGTGGTGTTGGGCCTGGAATGCTTCCTCGCATAGAGAAAGCAGCATGACAGCCTGTACTAGGCATATCTCTTTGCTTTTTAATATTTTTCCCTGTTCCGGGTTTGATGTGTACTTCTTTGTTCTGCTTAAGTGTGTGAATCAGTGGCCCGTAAGCACGTTCCCAGCTTTGTATGGTTCAGGTCCCATTGGGAATGGGGTGAGGACTTCACCTACAGAATAAGGGGGGTACATCCAGGTCAGTTCTTTGTATCAGCTGTGGGGGGTGAGACCTGCTGGGAATGGGGGGCCAATACTCAGTATTGAAACTAATCTTGCTTTGTCGCTTCTCCACCTGATTAAATTCTTTTCTGTCCAGTGCCTGTGTGAGTTTTGTCTTTCTTGGTGACCCTGATACCTGAAAACCATGAGGTGGGTTAATGTCCTGGGACTTCTGCACCTGGGGGTAGGCAACAGGTGTCACTTGTTCTATAATTACCATCACAAACTCTAGCTAGAAGAAAGAAACGCTTCTAAGGAAGCACATAAGGGGCCTGACCCAGGTTGGATATATGACCCAGTTAGGGAGTACTGGGGAGGTGTCGATGAAGTGACGGAGCAAATTAGGGAAGAAGAAAGAAATGGTCAGACACAGCAGGCAAAGGAAATGCTCTGCGGCAGGAGTAAATATGGTACATTTGAAAAACTGGAAAAGTTTTGCCCTCAGGGCTTAAGGTAAGAAAAAGCACTGGGGCTGGCCAGGTGTTGAGTATCATGCCTGTATCCTAGCACTTTGGGAGGCCAACAGAGGAGATTGCTTGAGGCTAGGAGTTTGAGACCAGGCTGGGCAACATATTGAGACCTTTGTCTCCACAAAAGAAAATTTTAAAACATTACCCCAGTATAGTGGTGCATCCTGTAGTCCCAGCCACTTAAGATGTTGAGGCAAGAAGATTGCTAATCCCAGGAGTTTCAGGTAGCAGTGGGCTGTGATGCAGCCTCTTCACTCCAGCCTGAGCAACACAGTAAAACCCTGTCTCAAAAAAGAAAATAGAAGAAGCAACAGTGTAGAGATGACAGTCACTGAAAAGAGAGATAGGAACCACACCTTGCAGGATCTTCTAGGTCATGTGGAGGATTTGATTCTGCATCCACTGAGAAGTGGACAGTACAAATGAGATTTCAACACATTGAGATTTGTGTTAAAGAGATGGGTCTGGTAGCAGTGAGAAAAACAGATAAGAAAGGGAGAAAAGGAACACAGAGTAATTAGCATGAGACTCTTGCCGACATCCAGGAGAGGGAGTATAGTAACTTAGACCAGTGGTTCTCACCAGGGGAATTCTACCCTTCAGAGGACACTTGACGATTTGTGTCAATGAGCCACAGGTGTCTCCCTCTTAGCCATTTCTTATTTCTTTTGTAAGGGCCTGACATTCATCTGTTTTTCTATTTTAGATATTTATATTTTTCTATAGATTTGTAGAACTTATAGATCACAGTTTTTAACTCTTTGTTATCACAGTATTAGATATTTCCCCATAACATTTTTTGGATGTTTTCCTGTGTAGTATTTTTTCATTTTTATAAATTCAAATATGTTGACTTTATCTTCCTGCTTTAATCTCATGCTAGAAGAGACTATTCCTTCCCCAGGATCATAAGAAAATGTTCTTTTATATGTTCTTAGGACATTAAATTATTTTATATATTTAAATTTTTAATCTATCTAAAATTTACTTTCATGTGTGATGAGTAATTGGGATTTTTTTCCAAACTAGTAGCTTTAAAACCAGTAATTAAATAATATGTTCTTTCATCCTTCTTTTTACCTTGTACTCAATTGTATATCCATTAGTCTGATATTGGGGTCTTTTGTTGTTTAGATATCTTGGTATATTCTTGTGCCTGTCTTAATTACTATAGCTTGGTAATTTTCTTTGACATCTGATAAGGCAAATCTATATTATTTTATAACTAAGAAAACCCACAAAGGTTTGTGTACCTATGTATGTGTGTTTATGTGTCTGTGTGTTCTTATATGTGGAGGGTTAATGGGAAAATGCCTTGGAACAACTGAGTTTGGTTGGGAAGCTGCAAAGAAGTTTGAGACCGTGCCTGGAGCAGAGTTTCCAGGAAAATTTGGAAAAGTAAAAGGAGAGGTAGAGACCACAGGACTCTTGACGGAGGTTGGTGCTCATACTGTGAGGTTTGTGGATGAAGGCAAGCAGAGAGGAAAACTGGCATGGACTGGATCTCTGTTACAGTTGGATACTGGCACCAATTGCCTTTCAAGGCTCCCACAGCCAGGGAACCTTTTCCCAGTCCCTGGGAAGTCATGGATGCTAAGATAGTCTGTTCACTCCTTAGAGTTGATCTATTGACCTTGGGTCTGGGTGCAGTGTCAGCAGCCATTTGTGGGCTATGTTCTCTTGTGTTCAGAGGGACCCTTACCTCTTAGTCATATGTGTTATCTTTCATTGGTCCACAGCTTTCAAAGAGAAAGAGTCTTGTAATTCAGCAAGCATTCATTGAAGGTGTGACATTTCCAGTGCAGACCCTGTACCCAGCCCCCAGCAAGGGCCCATTTCCATCCAGCTTCAGATGAGTGACCGCAGTCCTCTTGAGCACACAAGTGCACACACACACACACACATCACTACCTTGGGACTCACCTCTTCAGGCTCCAAAGGTCTCAAAGCAAGAGCATTCCTGTGTTAAGGACCTCTCATCTCATACAAGCTTTGCCCCCACCCCACTCCACCCTGGCACAGTACAGGAAACTGGGGGATTTCCAGGAAAGAGCAGACAGACCCAGAACATAGCCAGGTCCTCAGCTTTTCCTTCCAGACATTCAGGAACCACAAGGAGGGATAGTCTAACAGAGTTCACTCAAGCCTCTTGCTGGGATTATTCCAAGGGTCTCTGGAGTCACTCAGGAGGGTGAGGAGGCTGCCTACTGCTGCATCAGAAAGTCTCCTGGGGTATTTCAAGCACTGCAGTCCTCATACCCCATTTCTGTCATCTTTCCCATTTGACATCTTCCAGGCTGTACTTGTCCTGAATTTTGGCCTAATGACACCCATATAAAACTGGGTAGGGGAGGGCACTGCTCAGGAACCAGTGGGAACGTTCCTGGGCACAGCCAGCGTGGTTCTGCTGAATGTGACAGGGAATGTTTGTGCACTGCTCTGTGCAGCAGGCCCAAGTGACCAAATAACTCCCCTGCATAATGGCTTCTCCCCCAAAGTCACAGGTATTTGACTTCCCTTTATCCCCACAAAGGGACAGGGCACTGGAGCCACCACACAGGGACTGAATGAGGTCATGCATGTCCATAAAATGTCCAGTCCTTCCCTGTCTCTGGCCCTATTTTCCCTTCATCTAGGTAGAGTTGGGGTGACAGTGGAGGAAACTGGAAGAGAGACCAAAAATCTCTTGGCCTTGACACAGATTGAAGAAGGAGGAAGCAGCAGCCATCCCCAACCTACGTAGTCTCCGGCAACATTCCCAGGCAAGGCCTCACCGCGGGCTCTCCTACACTGGGTTAAGAGAAGGGCGGAGAGAACTAAAACAGGGAAGGCAGAGGGCTATTTGGCTTGGACCTGAAGGGTGACAGTGGACCCTAGGGGCAGGCAGGAGCGGCCTTTGGGCAGGAGCCGCTGTCTCATCCCTCACCCTTCCACCAAGGGCTAGGGTGAAGGTGGAAAGAAGTAGAACAGAAAGTTGAAGGGGCACCGTTGAAGGGGCGGAGACTGCCCCGCCCCCGCCCCGCCCCGCCCTGCGCCACCTCCCGGGTCTGGGTCGGCAACCTCCTGCGCGCTGGCTGCCGGCTGCCACTGCGGCAGCGCTAATCGCCTTCTCCTGGTCCGCGGGCCGCGCAGGTAAGTAGGGGAGACCTGGCGCCCAAGCCTCTGGGCGACCTGAGGGCGGCGTGACGCTGAGAGCTCGGAAGGAAGGAAACAGGTTCATACATATCTCCCCAGAGGGCGGGAGGAAGGAATCGAAGCCCTGGCACCCCAAATCCTCTGGCGGCGGGAGGTGGTCCCTGCCCCGAGGGCGAGGGGTGGGCGCGTTTTACCCAGAGCCTGCTGGATCTGGAGATGCGCGGGGCGCTTAGATGCCTGCGGCTGCTGGGAGACGCAGTCCAGAGTAGGACCCCCCAGATCCCGGGGCGTTGGATCCCTGAAGCTCGCCATCCATTGCAATTGTTTCTAGCCACAGCTAAAGATACGTCTCCCGGGTCTTTAAAGGGAGACTTCAGGCTCGTGGGCCAGGAACACACACAGAAACCTTCCTTGCTGTGGTGCTTTGAAGAAAAGCTCTGCCTCCACCCCTGAATGTTAGTAATAGGAAGCAGATTTATTGCACCCTGGGTGTGTGTACAGGTGGAGCAATCTGCAGAAAAAGATAACCCTACAATTTTTTTTTATTTCGGATGAATGTTTCAGCAAACTCATTCTTCTCCCTTTCCTCAAATTTGGGAGAATGACATGAGAATTTAAACTCCTGCTTTGGTTCTTTCTCTGAAGTTCTGGGTTTGGGCTCACCTTTCCCAGGATGAGGTTTTGATTTGGAGGGGTTGAAGTGGGCTAGTGTTTATTTTATTTTATTCTGGCTAGTGTTTTAACCAGGGCAAGTCTTTTTAACTTCTGAAGTCAGGGGCTCTGGACATACTGACATGCTATATTCTCTCACGTACAGCTGGGAGAAAAGATGTTCGCCGTGCTGACCCGCCAACCATGTGAGCAGGCAGGTTCGTATCTCTCAGCAGGCAGCAAGTGTAGTTTTGTCAAATCGGGAGAATATCAGCTTCAGCCCACAGTTTTTCATCCGTGTCCCCTACAAATGACTGTCTAACCTCATTTGTTTGAGACAAGTTGCTCACTGGGGCTTTGCCACCAGCATTCCTCAGATAAAAGCAATGTTTTCATCAAAGCCACACAAAACAAGGACTAACATGTATGTTTCGCTTAAATGGTTTTTCCGGTTTGTATAATCCACTCATTTGGCCTTTGTGGTTTCCCTTACCTCACTGTGTGTAAGATTTGCTTTAGAAGACTGTATTGTTGATTTTGTGATGAATTGTAAAGTACCTGGGTCTTTCCTGTACTTCCATCCAAACTTTGTTGCTGGCACAGTGCCCGCAACGCCCCCAGCCGCCACCATGAGTCAGTGTTGTTATGGTCGGGTGTTGCATCCACCGCTGTGGAGTTTTCTCACACACACACTTCTAAGCTTGCCCGGCCTGGCTCTGGAGCACTTTTTGGAATTGCTCACGAGGAAGCCCAGAAGGCACTGGCCCAGAAGGCACTGACCTCTCCACGCCCAGGTAGGCACCTTGCAATTACAGTGTTTGTCCAGCTCTAATGACAGCACAGCTCTAGGCTGTATTTCCTAAATGAATGAGACCTGCTCTAGTCCATTTTGCTTGGTAAGAAGCTTTTCTGCTGGGGCAAGGGTTTGCTTAAGGTAATCATAGCTTTTTGCTTGAAAACTGCTGAAACACAGAGGACTTAGGAGGCCAACCACGTGGCTGTGGTCAGGAAACTGCTTACATGTCACGCGCCACCCCTCCCCCGTGGATAGATGTTCTTTAGTCATGTCCCTAACTTTGTATTCTTGTCTTCTAAAAGAATATGATTTTAGGATATAAGAGCAATTTATATGGGTTTTTTTCTTTTGGTAAAGATAAATTATACTTAAGGAACTGGTTTACTTTGATTTTGGGGTTTTCCCCACAACACTTTGAAATGTTAACACATATATTATAACATCATGCAAACGGACTAACATGTTACATTTTTTTCAAAGGACAAGTTTAACTTGGTAGATTAAATTCCCACCACATCTTGTTAGGGGAAGGAAAAAAAACCCTTAAACCTCTATCACTGACACTGACATATTTCATTTGAAAGTTGATGAAAAGTTTTGTATCTGTGAATTAACTGGTTCGTGGCTAGTTTGTGTACTTTTAACTGGAACCCCATTAGATGCTCTGAAGATCGGCTCCAAGGTAGTTGGCTCCCCCTCCAGTTGCTATTACAACTGATTTGGCAATGAGTAACCTTGTGTATATGTCATCGTATATATGTGGGGTTAATTCTGTGGGATAAGTTCCCAGAGGGGGACTGCCAGCCAGATGGTATGTTCATTTGCAGTTTTGATAAAGGCCAATGAATAGGCTGGGCATGGTAACTCACACCTGGAATGCTGGTGTTCTGGAAGTTTGAGGCAGGTGGATTGCTTGAGCTCAGGGGTTCCAAGCCTGAGGAAGACTGAGATCTCGTCTCTACTAAAAATAGAAAAATTAGCTGGGTGTTGTGGCAGGTGCCTGTAGTCCCAGCTACTTGGGAGGCTGAGGTGGGAGGATCACTTGAATCCAATTTGAGGCTAATGCCATGGCACTCTAGCTGGACAACAGACTAAGACTTTGTCTCAAAAAAAGAAAGAAAGAAAGAAAGAAAGAAAGAAAGAAAAATAGATTAATAAGTAGCCCTCTATTGATGTAATACTACTTTACATTCTTAATGACAAGGTAGGAGAACTAAGGTTTTACATGGCCACCCATGACATTAGGAAGTGTCTGTGACTGCATCTACACTCCAGTGGAATTGGATGGACAGAAGAGTTGGCTATTCTAAGCCCCTGAGATCCACTGCATGCCTGCCCTCCCCACAGAGTGAATGATGTGATGTGATTGGATATAGGGACTGAATCTCATTCTATCATGGTCACGTGTAGGTAGCCTGCTTTTTTTCTCTAGGAAAATGTCTTATAGAAATAGTGAAGGGGGCTCGGTGCCTATAGCTCAACCGGCTAAGGCGCCAGCCACGTACACCTAAGGT